CCAGACACTTTTTCGACTTTACGCGCGCGCGCATCAACGTGTTAGATCTGCGCGACTTTTTTGACTTTTTCGGATTATCGCGCGCGTGAGAATGTTAGACCCTTACAAATAACATCCGAAAAGGGTCCGAAATTCCGTTTTGGCGCGCAAGGGTCCAAAAAAAGCGCGAGCACCCCACCCTGTGGCCGGGAGAGAATTTCCAGGTCCCCTTTTGGACCAGTTCCACAGACTCCCCTACCCTGGGATATACGAAAGAGGAGCAAATAGCTCAACGACGAAATGGAAAGTGCAAGCAGCTTAGGCAGCAAGCATCTGTACAAATCGTCGGCGACTGTGAACTTCTCTTTTCCTCCTTTCAGATTGAAGTCGCTTGCCTTCGGGCTTGCTTGATGTCTCTGGGGAAGATCTTGGCTTGGTTCTCACAGGCTCTGCTGTGCCGTTTCATCACCACTCGAGCGAGCTCGTGGTGAGGACTCGAAACAGTTTTGACTGCTAGAATCAAAGTTCGGATGTGTTGTGTTCCAAAAAACCGGGAACCTCACCTCGCATAGAGTTCTCCGCTTAGGCGTATCGACGAACCAGGCGAATAGTGTGGAGCCCACGCCTGCTGATCCCCTTTTGTGGTTGAACGGTAGAGGCGAAAACATTAAAGTCGGGGAAAGTCTTTTTAGTTTTTCTCGCAATGGCGAATGAGGTGAACATCCTTGCCGATGGCTAGTCCTAAAAGCATTTATGTAACACCAAATTCACTCGGAGGTGCGGACGCTTTGGAGTTTTTTTCTTTATGGAATCAACAAAATCGCATCTAGCCTCCACCAAGGGGTGGCCTAAGCTACGTTTTGTCGGTCCATTTGAACAGGCAACTGTTTCGAAACTTTCAAACACGTAGGCTTGGTTTTCATTCCAGAGCAAAGTGGAATCGGAGAGATAGGAGGAATTCGTCCTGACCTTCCGTCCTGCTAGGGCATTTCGGTGCCCAAGCGAGACTGGGGTGAAGCGATTTCCAGCTTTCTCTGCGTTTTTCATTTAAACGCAGTGACTGCTAACGCTTTTGTGAAAAACACGGTCAGCCGAGCCTCTCCTCTTGCCTTTTTCGAAGGGAAAGGGGTGGGGCAAAGCTGATTCGGCTTTCTGAAGCTTGGCCTTGTTTCGCGCGAGGTCTTGCAGTGGGAAGTCGGAAAGAATTAGTTACCTGGTTGATTCTGCCAGTAGTCATATGCTTGTCTCAAAGATTAAGCCATGCATGTCTAAGTATACGCAAATTATACTGTGAAACTGCGAATGGCTCATTAAATCAGTTATAGTTTATTTGATGTTTCTTGCTACATGGATAACTGTGGTAATTCTAGAGCTAATACATGCGTAAAAAGCCCCGACTTCGGAAGGGGTGTATTTATTAGATAAAAACCATCCTCCTCGGAGTTTGGCGATTCATAATAACTTCTCGAATCGCACGGCCTTGTGCTGGCGATGCTTCATTCAAATATCTGCCCTATCAACTGTCGATGGTAGGATAGAGGCCTACCATGGTTGCAACGGGTAACGGGGAATAAGGGTTCGATTCCGGAGAGGGAGCCTGAGAAACGGCTACCACATCCAAGGAAGGCAGCAGGCGCGCAAATTACCCAATCCCGACACGGGGAGGTAGTGACAATAAATAACAATGCAGGGCCCTTTTGGGTCTTGTAATTGGAATGAGTACAATTTAAATCCCTTAACGAGGAACGATTGGAGGGCAAGTCTGGTGCCAGCAGCCGCGGTAATTCCAGCTCCAATAGCGTATATTAAAGTTCCCTCCGGGGCCTAAGTATAATTTTTGTCAGTTTATTCACTTAGGAGGACTAAGGTCCAGAAGCGTTTTCACTTTATCTTAAAATCTAACAAACGCAGAAACTTCTCTATTCCTTTTTAGGAGTCCTTGAAGCGGTCCGGGGGGCTCAGTACGGGGTGATACCCAGAAGCCAAAGGAGAAAAAACTGTCTTTTAAATCACGGAGGGATTCTTTAGCTTGGGCCTTAAACCCCCAAGCTTCATAATGCCTCCAAAAAATGCCAACGCGACGCAAGTCGCTCCTGAAGGAGCTCCAGTGGAGACAACCTCGGACAGACCGGTTTCTAAGCCGGAGAGCCCGATCGAAGCTGATAGCCCTTCAAATTTAAGGGGAAACAAGAGAAAACTGAGTGGGTTGGGAAACCCCCGGTCTAAGAAAGGAAAGAATCAGTTGTCGTCGGACTCAGACTCGTCTGAATCCAGCCCTTCTGAATCTGACTCCGACTCTGACTCTGATGTCCCTAAAATTGTCGAGCCTTCCAAAGACATGGACCAGCTCTCAAAATCGGCAAGCAGTCTGGGGGTGAGGGATGCAGCAATGGAGCCAGCACAAGCTGACCCAGTAACCCCACTTCCAGCCAGCAATTCGCCAACAACAACCAAGTCGCAAGGTGCCCATCCCTCAAAGGATCCTTTTCCTGAGGTGAGGGACTGGGCTGCCGAGGTGGAAATTGCAGAGGCCAAAAAAGCCCGCAATAACGCCCGGAAAGCCGAACGCAAAGGTAGAGCAGCGCGGGTGAAGCAGGCTAAACTTGCTCAGCTCACAGCGGACCGACTGGCTGTAAAGCCCCCGCCGCGTGAGTGTGTCCGGTGTAAAACCCAGCATTGGGAACAGGACCCCTGCCCGCCAAAGCCCACGGCCTCCCCTGAAAAGGGGGCCTCAAAAACTAAGTCCTCAACTGCTGGCAAACGCAAGCAGAATGGGGCCGAAATTGAGAATGACAGAGGGCCCTCTAAAAAGGGGAAGGGGCGAGTCTCGAATGTGGACCTTGGAAAAGGAGTCATTATCCGGGCTGTTGCGGGGCGTTCTTCATCCCGTAAAACCACCTCGGAGTTCCAGGATGGCACCCATTGCTACCTGAACCTCTCCAAGTTCTCCAGTGAATGGCAGAAAGGGAAATCCCTGGAAAAGGGATTCTCTGTTGTTGAATTGACGCGGGGCATGCGTGCGGCGGGGCTGGTACCCATCCGTGCATCCAACCAAAGTGGAGCTTCTACTTTGGAATGGTTGATCCGATTCGGATCTTCCTCGGATGCTGAGGAAGCCGTTGACAAGCCTTTTACCCTCCGGGGGGTTGAGGTTCGCCTTACCCCATTCTTTAAGGAGGGACCGCGGACCTTCATCTGCAAGACCCTGGGGCCTGTTTCCATGGAAGCTCTGATACAGAGTATCCATGAATATGCCCCAAAAGCTCAATTTGGACTCCGAAGGGAAGAAGCATTCGGTTGTATGGGTGACAAATGTCTTCTGACATTTGGACAACCGCAGAATTTCAACCGCATCTCCCTTGTCTTTAAAAATGTAGAATTCACCGTCGCTTTCGTTCCGCTCAGCCCAGTACCCCCGTGTGCTATATGCATGGAGGGGCACAGCACTACGGGTTGCAATTGTTTAGTTCCTGTACCAAGCCCTTCTGGCTCCGATAACTTTTACAATAGCTTGATCGCGTAAATATCATTTGAAGATGTCTAAGTCCATACTCGTCGCGTCTGTGAATGTCAGGTCTGTGTTGAGTGAAGTCCGTTTCCGTGAAGTTCTACATTTTTTCCGGATGTCAAAAATTGATATCCTTTGTATACAGGAAGCCCGCCTTTCTAAAGATCGAGCAGAACGTCTTAATGCTACATTCCCCGGCATGCGACTGCTTACTAACCCAAACAATGATGAAGGAAATGGAGGAGTGGCAATTATGATTAATCCCGAAACGACGTATTTATCTAGTGCCAATACTCCCTCTGTGTTAGGTGATTTTTCCTCGGAAAACTACCTTTATGACGCAGCTGGCCGTCTCCTTGTTACAAATCTGAGTTGTAAAAATCAGCAACTGAATATCGCTTGTGTCTATGTCCCAGCTAATAGTACTGAAAGGGCCCTTTGGCTGGAAAACACAACTAACTTCTTAGTCTCGCTAGAGAGCCGAATCCGTTGTGACATTGTTGCGGGAGACTGGAACACTGTCACTAACACTATGGATCATACCTCCCAGCGACGACACAACTTGCAAGAGAGACATCGGCTCCTATCCTTTCTCTCCTTCCTAAATGACGAAACTGGCCTTATCGATGGCTTCAGGGAACGCTTTCCTGAGACTATTCTGTACACTCACAAGAGCCCGAATAGCGAAGCCCGTCTAGACCGAATCTATGTGACACCTGCCTTATATCACCGATCCTTTGATTGGGAATCTCATGTGTTACCCAGTTCTCTCAATCTCGATCATCACATGGTTACAGTTGGAATCAATCCGGTTACTACACCAATCCGTGGCCCGGGCCGTTTCCGCTTTAAATGTAACCTTCTGAAATCAAAACCTGTTCAAGAGTGCCTCACACTTTTTGTCAATAAAATGGAAGAGATGCCTGTGTCGCCAAGCCGCTGGGCAGCCCTTAAAGATGAGCTAGAGACATCACTCTCGACTGTAGTACGTGCAAAAACTCAGGCCCTTTCGGCCACACGTTCCAAAATAAAACGAAAACGTTTGAGACTCCTACTACAACGACGTGCCTCTCCAAATCCCTCGCTTGAGCGAAAACTTAGTGCTGTCACTGCTAGAGAAGGTCAACTGAACGAATTTGCAACCAGAGCCTATGCCTATAGTGCGATGGCGAAAAATCGGCTGTTGGGAGAGAAGCCGACACGATGGTTCTACTCCAGATTTTCTGCCTCCTCCTTCACACAAATTACTGCACTTCAGACTGGACCGGAGGGACCCGTGGTGAAACATCCACCGGACCTCCCTGCTGTGGCTGCTGATTTTTATAAATCGCTCTTCGCAGAACGGCCCACCAATGCACGCAAAGGCCGTGACTTCATCACCCTTATGCCAAAGATCCCGAGAGCTCTGCGTGAATCCATTACTGTTCCCATTACCTCCACTGAAGTAAGAGCCGCTATTAAAGGGGCGACTACGGGTAAGTCGCCTGGACCAGATGGTTTACCAATTGAGTTACTTAAGGAGATTTATAAATCTTCCTCGGAAAATGCTGAGATTCTGTGCAACGGTCTTGCCCAACTTTTTAACTCCCTTCTCCAAGGCGAAAAAGCGGCTGAATCCTTTTCGATTGGGGTCCTCTCCATCCTGTACAAAAATCGAGGCTCCGCTCTGGACCTCAAAAATTATCGACCTCTTACAGTGGCAAATACGGATTACAAGCTGCTCACTAGTGTCCTCGCACGTCGGCTCTGTTCTGCCCTCAATGATGTCATAGGTTCACACCAATATGCCTTCTTGCCAGGGAGACTTATTGATGATAATATAAGACTGGTCCAATCAATCATTGATGAAAATAAAGGACGAGAAAATGATGGGGTTTACCTCCTCTTTATCGACCAAGAAAAAGCATATGATCGGGTTGACCACAAATTCCTTTGGCGTCTGATGAAAAACGTTGGTCTTCCCCGGACCATCCGCCGGGCTATCCAGGCCCTATACGCTGATATCAAGTTAAAGGTCATGGTAAATGGCTTTACAAGCTACGCTTTTCCTGTTATGAGTGGTGTGCGACAAGGAGACCCCCTTAGCTGTGTCCTCTATGTCCTTTTCCTAGAACCTCTCATCCGGAAAATAAATATCTCTGAAATTGAAGGGATCCCTATTCCAAATTCTGAACCAATCAAGGCCATCTGCTATGCAGATGACACTGTCCTGATTCTCAAAACTCAAGCCGAAGTGGACCTCGCCCGCCAAATCCTTCAGGATTTTAGCGAGAGCACTGGTGCAAAAGTTAACTGGAACAAGTCGAGTATACTCCGAGTAGGGAACCCCCCTGCTATTGTCATCCCAGAAGTTACCTTCGTCACTCCAGAAAATCCATACTTCCACCTAGGTGTCCCTATGGGAACACATCTCATGGCGCAAGTACAAACTCTGTGGGACGACGTGAGAATGAACTTTGAAAACATCGCCAATAAGTGGTCTAAAGCTCGTCTCTCGTTGAAAGGTCGGGTAATGGTGGCAAACAGCCTCATGCTCTCTCTCCCCCGATATCACCTCAAATTTGTCCCCATTCCAACCAACATGCTGAAAACGCTTGTGAAAATCTATTATGATTTTGTCTGGGAACACAAAACCCTTCACAAACTCCATGACTCACATGCCACTCTCCCGACTGCGAAAGGCGGAATCGGCAGTTTCGACCTCCACTGTGTTGTTGAAGCCCTGAGCGTGGAACTGATATCTAAATTGGAGTATTGCGATGACCTGCCCTGGGTCCAGATCCAACGTCGCTTACTCACAAACCTCCATACTCGCACACAGGGTGAAATTCCTTCTGTTATCACCCGCCCCTGGGTCCAGAAGATTTCGAGTAGAGACCTCCGAGAGAATGAACTGCCAACTTGTATACGCCACGTCTGGCTCAACTGGCGGCGCACCCTTCAATCTAATTCAGACACTATCGTACTTTGTCCTCCTGCTACAAAGACGGATGTGCTGGATACTAACTTCTGGTACCATAAGGACCTTAAAATTCTCCCCGGGCAAGGGGCACGTCGCTTCTCCAATAATACCTTCGGGTTTTTGGCGAATCTAGGCGTTACCAAGATTGGAGATCTCTGGGATGCAGATACCCGACAGGTTATCTACCCAGTTTCCCTCCCAACCTCCCAAAGACGTGCCCTACATCAGGCTGTCACGACACTCATCCGTGACCTCCCTGATTCATGGCTCCAACTTCTTGAAGGAACTTCCTCTCACACCACTTCCACTAATGGCCACTTGTGCCTTACGGTGAAAAAGGGGCACCTTAAAACTACGACACGCCTTGACAGTGTTGGCTTCCGCCAGATCTATCGTCAGCTTGTGTCAAACAAGACCGCAAACGTGAACTACGACCACCGTGTCCTACCCGTGTTGCAAACCTACCAAAGCTATACTGGCAGACCTGGTAGTTTGGAAATGATCTGGCGTGCCGCACGCCAAGATTTCCTCACACCGAAGCAAGGTGACCTCCTTTGGCGCTTTCTCCATGATAAAGTACGAGTAGGCCACGATCTACACTGGCTAGACCCAGAAGATCAACAGTGCCCACTATGTCATGAGCTCTCTTCCATTGAACATCTGTGGCTCCGATGCCCCGCTGCACAGCAGGTATGGGACCTTGTCAAGACCATATGGGATACAGCCTGGAATTTGACCACCCCTGAGGTAGCCAAACCACCCTTCCCTCAAATTGAAACCAGATATGACCTTGCATGCTGGCTAGCACTTTCGCCTGTATCCGATCGATACCAGTCTCGTCGCTGGAAAATCCTTTTCGGAACGGCAGTGTGGTCGATTTGGATATCTTATCTTCGCTGGAGTTTTAAGGAGGAGCCCTCTGCCCTCCTCCCAGCCTCAATTTCTGCGCTCTTTCTTACCAACCTACGCAACAGATTCCAGGAAGACCGCCTGCTATCCTTGAATACGCTCTATGCCAACATGACCTATAATGTGGCGGCCTTCCAGCAAG